TATTTAGATTTGTCAGTAAATTGCATTCTTTGATTTAATTTCAAAGTAATTAAATACATTTCTGAATCTTGTCCATATGTGGAGTAAGTGAAATCTCACCACTGTACATTTTTCTCCTGATGTGTCCAGGCTGGATCTCTACGCAAAAAGAATTCATAATTCATGAAGTGTTTTTTGAGTTGGAAAAACATCTATGGTGACCTTCATTCGTCTGTCCAGTTTTTTAAGACACTGCCTCAATGAAAAGAAGAGAAGTTCACCTTAAATTCACTCTATAGAGTTCCTTTTACTGCCACAATATAAGCACCAGTAACTCTGCAGTGCACCGCTCCTGGTCCCTCAACGTCACTGTGGATGCTGAGGACAAACAGCAGTAGATGAAGGTGAGAACAGAAATATAAATAAAGTTGGCAGAACAGCCCAAAACCTTTTCTTCAACTTTAACATTTATAAAACTGGTTTCTGGCTGTAGCTTGAGACATTTAATTTTGTTGCGTTTATATTGTGTAGACAAGACGAGAGTTTAATTGTTAATCTTAATTGCGTGAGTCCAAGAAACATTGATGAACGGATTAAGGCCCTGCAGAAGGAAGCTGCAGCACCGCATCGCTGTGACAATGAACTGTGGGCGCAGAAGAAACATCTCCTTGAACTAAAGAGTAAAAAGAGACAAAAAAGAATCAGTACTAAACAGGATAGACAGGCCTGCCTTTAAAAGTCAAAAAAGGTTTATTCTGTGTAATATGTTTGCATACAACTTAATTAGAAAATCAACTCTTTAAAAAGGCCTTAATTAGTTAATTTAACAAGTGATCAGACTCTCTCTTTCCCTGTTTAGTCTGAGATAAATGGAGCAGAGCGCTATTGACCTGAAGAAGGTTAAAGAGGAAACTGAGGAGAAAATTGCTGCTGTCAGTTTCCAGAAGGTGACTGTGTTCAAATGAAGGTATGGATCAGTGAACTCATAACCAAGAAGCTGTGTATGACCGCCGCTGTGGAACGACGACATTTCAAATCGCCCAATAGTCTGCTCTGTTCTCTATTTTACCGTCTCTGCATCAAGCTCTGCTCTGTGTTTTCAGTCTGTTTCTCACTTTATCACACTTTATAGCAAACATTTATCACACTTTTATGGTATGTTGATAATAGATTTGTACAGGTATAACTTCTCCCTGCCAGGTTTCAGTACTTTCCATGTGCCACTGCGGCAAAAATCCATCCGGCCATCTGGTGCAGAGGAAGGTACGGCTGACAGAACAATGCAAACGCCTGTTGAAGAGAGCAAACATGATCGATGGGACGCAGCCTGATGAGTCAATACTTCATTACAGTATAAATATCTGAATAAGAGAAACAAGTCTGGAGGATATTATCCTTGTAATACACTCTAAAAGCTGCCACCGAGGCCTTTTGGGTGTAAAATATTAATATTGGCTTTTTGTTAATACACATCTTCAGCAAACTGCCCGACAGGCTGGATCAGATGAAGGCCATGCTGAATGAGGAGCTTTTTCTCCTGCCTCAGGGAAACTGTAAAAGCACATGAGGATAAGATTTACATTTGAATTCAAAGAGTATAACTTTATAAATCTAATTCCTAGGAACTGCATACATTTTGAGCCAACCTTCTCTAATAGCAATGTAAAATTAAAAGACTGCTATTTTATTGCTGGAACTGGAAATGTCTGTAAAAATCATATAAAGTGTCAGTGAAGAAGTCATAAATTTAAAATGGTGGATTATGCTGCTTTAGTTATGAAAAAGACATTTTATAACTACCTCATTAGTTCTAGCAAGACATTGTGATCAGACCTTACTCATTAATTACTATATTGCTTAGTATTACTCATGGTTAGCAATATATTTAGATGACTTTCTTACTGTCCTCAGAATGTAAATATTAGTTGTATTAGGTGTCTTGTTTTTGATGGTTGCTCGTGAGTCCAACAGCAGAAGGGTGATTATATTAGAACTGTGATTGTTTTCATTCCCTTTGTGGTTCACTTACTTAGTCCTGTTTGTCATTTCCGATGACAGAAGGCTGTTGTGTACATAAATGTGTGTGTCACAGGCTAAGGAACGCTGGCTCAATCCGCTGAAGCAGCTGGTCGGACAGATTAATGATAAGTTCACTGATTTGTCTGTGCAGGAGAGGCTGATCTGCGCTCAGAGACGGAAGTAAATGCAGACACACACAGAAACAACACAAACTGGGTAAAAGTAGGTTTTCAGCGGTGGTTTGCTTTCCTTCACTGAGCTGATGATTGAGTTCATGTAAAACTGAATTTTATATAGATTTGATAAAAAGTTAGGATGTAGCCCTGGATTATTGATGTTACCTTTTAAAGCTGTGTTACACTAACTGAACTATTTAAATCCAAGATGCCCCTTTTAATGGATGCAACATCAAATTACATCAAATTTAAAATTCTTTCTGATGTCCTGACAGTTTTTTTTCATTTCACATGAATGTGGGAGTTATTATACATTATATATTATATTTCTGAAAATACTGAACTGCAGGTAAGTTTTTTGAAGGGGAAAGTAAAGAAAATTCCCAGGTCTGGAAATATATATGATCTTTAGGGATGCACAATATACCGGCAACCACATCGGTATCGGCCGATATTAATGTTTTTTCCCATATATCAGTATTGGTATGAACAAATTTAGCCGATGTGAAAAACCAATGATTGTCTAACATTTGCACCCTCGTCTCTACATTTGATATTGCTGCTATTTCACAGATGTTTTTACTTAAATGGTCCCGGACTTAAATATGTTAAAATATATTTAAATATGTTTTACTTTTGTTATGTAATAAAGAAGACTATGTTTAGATTAGACATAGACTATTAGACTATGTCTAATGTGGTATGGGCTTCTTTTGAATAGTTTTCACGTTCTCACAGTGCTTAATTATACTCATTTTTCGGCGTGAACAAAATTTGAATATTGACAGTAATATCGGTTATCGGCGATATCAGAAATCTTAATACTGGATATCGGTATCGGACAGAAACTTTAATATCGTGCATCACTAATAATATTCTCATAATATTGCCAAAATATTTTACATAACAGCTTTAGTGTCCCAAATAACAGATAATTAACAAAATCTGAGACGAAGGAGCAGCACTGTTGTTTGAAATAAGTGGGACTGACTCTGCTCTGTGACTCCTGGATGTGTAAAACAGAATCTGTTTGCTAACAGGTTCACTATAAGTTGTGTTTCACAGCGTGTCTGCGTGGCCCTCAAGTGGCCAAAAGGTAATTTATTGCAAATATAGAGTGTTTCTGAGAGAGACAATATATCTGCTGTGTCATTTTTGTGCACATAAGAGAGTCTGCATTCTTTATTTCCCATTTTCATCTCCTGCTGTGTTTGTCTTCAGCTGCTGCAGAATCTTCAGTATGCAGAGAAACGGGGTGAGAAGGCTTTCATCAGATGGCGTCTCTAAAGAAAAGCCAGCGCTTGAATCAACTGCTGAGTTCACATGCTTTCTAGTGCAGAAGTTTAAAAAGTGTTCCTAGCTTTATTTAAACAGTTGATATGCATTTGAATTACTTTTTTTTTTGTAGTTCTATATAAGTTTGTGAAAATTCACTTTTTAAAACAGAAACACTACAAAAGACACTGAAAGACTTTGTTTTCAGAGCTCGTGGTCAGCAGCAGCAGCAGCGGTTAGAGATGCTGCTTTTTGATGCTTCATGCTCAGCTGAAGTTGTCATTGTGCTTTCTGGCGTAGCCTCTGTTTGAAAAGGCCTGTGGAGGAAAGAAAGAGCGTTGTATCTGTATTTAAGACACGCCTCAGTGAAAGGCAGACTCCTAAACTCAGTGGATTTAGGTCAGACTGCATCAGAAGCACTGTCAGTGTTAGTTTCACCAACCTCACCTGTGTGTGACTTGATGTTGTAATTGAAGCTTCTCAAAAAAATATGTCACGATTAAATGATCAGACAAAAATGTACCTTTCAGTGAGCATTCCACAGTAAATTAATTTTACCGTAAAATTATACAAAGAGAATGTTCCCTGAGGGTTCAGCAGCTACTGATGAACGTCTCCCTCCACATCCATCTCTACTTTGAGCCTCAAAAAGTTTAGTAAGGTTATTTCTAAACACCTGACTGTTATGCTGCTCTGCAAATATGTTAAAAAACACCATTTGTTACACTATAAAACTTTTTTGATTGTAATTTTTTCAAACTGTTTACTTTTCTTCTAATTCTGTTCCTTGTTTTATCAAATTACAAATAACTAGTAAAATCACAGAAAATGGTTTTAATTTACATATTAACGGTTAAAAAGAAAAACAGACCAAAACTATAAATAACATCTACATCAGAAATCTGGATTTTTATAAATGAAAGTTTGTTCTTTTTCAACAACTGACTGTAAAATTGCACCTTTTTAAAAAAAAATTTTTTTTTACTATATTTAGATCAGCAAAAAGAGGCATTTTTACAGATATTTACAAATTACAAATAAATATTTTGTATGTTACGAACAGTCGTTTTACAGATTTTCCTGTTTTGTTAAATTACAGATGATAACCAGTAAAATCAGAAAAAAACTATTAATTTGCATGTTGACTGCAAAAAATCAACAACAACAACAACAATAATAATATAATAATAAAAAGGCCACAAATGTACATAATGTCCACAGCAAAAATCTCTATTCTTACAAATGATGTTTTTTTACAGTCTACTTTGGAAGAAACAATTTGGAGCCATGACCACCTACAGTGAGCTGCCAAAGGCAGTGACTACAGCATTAGGTCAGTTCACCCGAGACCCAGTTAATACCAGCACAAAGGAATAAACCACAGGTGAACTCATTGTGGTTCAGCAGTGAGGCATTACAAGATAACTCAGTGTGAACACAACACAACCAGTCACCTCCAGTATTTGCGCACAGCTGAGAGAAGCCACGCCCTCCGGCAGCACCTGAGGGTTCAGGTCGACCCTCCGTCTCCATCAGTTCAGCTCCGACAGCAGCCAGGATGCAGCGAGGCCTCCTCACGCACCTCAGCAGCTTTGTGCTCGGGCTGGTTTTGGCACGAGTTTCTGCGGATTTGCCCATGTGCAAAGAGGTGAGGAGATTCAGATCATTGTCAGCCTACATTATGAGACTCTTTCCTAATGTGACTTATTCATGTGTATTTTGGGGTGTAAATTGGAAAATCAGCTAAATTTAAAACTTGTTCTGAGGTGTGGAGATATGAGAGAAGTGGGAGGGAGGTGTCGCCTACTGCATCGTGTGTACATTGTGTACCTGTAGGCTTAAATGTTGATAAAGGCATATCTTGAAAGATATTTGATCTCAATCTGCTTCATCCAGGTGCATAAATGTCTGTTACTGCAAGAAAACCTGCTCAGACTGTGTGTGGAGGAAGGGCTAAACTTAATTACAACATATTTTCTAAAGGCTGTTTAGAGTTTGCACAGTTTATTTTAGCACTTTCCCATATTGTGCGTTTAAAATGAACATAATGTTTCCCATCTGCTCACGTCAGTCCCATATTTCACTAAAACTTCCATATGTTTCATTGTCTGCTGTGCTCTCCTCAGCTGTCTTTATCTGTTCTCAATTTACCTACAACAGCAGCACCTTTAGATAATACCCAAAATTATTCATTTTTATCACCGTACTTTGCACCTTGCTTCAGAGTGTGTGACCCATGAGGTTTTATTCTGAGTTTAGTGAGCTAATAGAGGTTAATTTCAGGACTCACTCGCCAGGTGAGTCAGTTTTCCTGCTGGTTTCTTTAAAGCATGAGGCCCAGCGGTCATGATGTCCTGTTGCCTTGGTTTCCTCGTGTTTGTTTAAAGGAGGCGATTAGGCTGCAGGACATCTCCAGCTTGATGCATTTTTACATCAGATCCTCCCACTTAGACCATTTGATACCCTCACCTCAGCTAATGTAGCAGCTCTAATTGTAAAAACACAGAGGCGGAGAAGTGCTGCTGTGTTTCTGTTAACTATTAATCCCACAAGGCAGTGTGTGGGTTTGGATTGGTCTGCTGAGTGGCCTTCCTCGGAATATTAAACCCCGTTGTTGACCGGTAACTACGTCTTAGGATCACACTGCTCAGGCTTGTTTAACAGGGTTTTAGATCAACACCTTTAATTACATCATTACAGGCGGGACGCTGTTTGTCGGTCAGAAGTGTCTCAAAGCAAGACGTGCAAAAAGCTTCTCCTCTGAGCTCCTGCTGTCCCCAAAGTTCTGTGGCAACACTGAAATTAAATGTTTACAAAAGGATCGGACAAATCAGCATCTCTACCCCCTCCGGCTAAGTAAATAAGCTTCGGAGAGGCAGCAGCATATCCTTGATATGTGAGATTAAAACAACTGTTCAGAAAAGCCTCCAGGGCAAATATTAGCTTCACCTTTTATTTGGAAAAGGGGTTGGCCCGGTTTGGGGAGAAAATTCCGAAAGGTATAAAACAGTCTGATGATCTGTGTTTACTGGCAGCTTACATACACACAGTGGCATCCTTTAGAGCACTTGAGAATAGAATAGAATAGAATAGAATAGAACAGAATAGAATAGAATAGAATAGAATAGAATAGAATAGCTTTATTGTCACCATACATGGGGGCATGACGAAAGTATAAATAGCTGGATGGTGCATTGAACCCGCTAAATTAACAACCATAAATAATAAAATCAAATGTACATGTAAGACAAGACTATATTAAGAATTTCAAACATATCCAAAAGAGACAAGGTACATTACAGTGAGGAGTAATGAGATCAAATAAAAACCAATAAAACAGAGTAAATGTAGCAATTACTTGAGCAGCATAGAAATAATCTGCAACAATTTGGACGATTTATTGCACATTTTATGCATTTTAAAAACAATTTTCTTGTCCCAACCTCCCTAAACGTTATGTTTTTGCTGTTTAATGTCACACGTGATAGTTAACTGAATATATCTGAGTTTTGGTTCATTGGTCGCACAAAACACGACATTTGATTTAAGAAATTCAAACAGGCATTGTCAGGTTTAACTGGGAAATAACCAGCTTTTGAATCCTTGTTTCTTTATGTGTCGTTCTAATTTAGTTTTTATTTGTGCACATTACGCCGTATGCGCTGTGTGAAAGTCACACCTGTGTTTTGTGCCTGCAGTCCGATTATCACTTTGAGTACACAGAGTGTGACGTACTCGGGTCGAGATGGAGAGTGGCGGTTCCCAACAAAGCCGACACATGCACGGGCCTCCCAGATCCAGTCAAAGGCACTCAGTGCAGTAGGTGTCATCTTATTTTACACCTTCAGTCCAATGTGTGTCACAGCTTTTATGTGTAAAGAATAAAGTCCTCATGTCTCCATCAAGCCTTTTACAACGTGGCTCCTTCTCTCTCTGTTTCTGCCCTTTTCTTGTGTTTTGCCTCTCGCAGCCTTCTCCTGTAGCCAGGGGGAGTTTCTTGACATGCAGTCGCAGCAGTGCCAGAAGTGCGCTGCGGGCACCTACTCACTGGGCACCGGCGTGGCCTTTGACGAGTGGGACAGCCTGCCGACAGGTTTTGTCACTCACGGGATGACAACGAATGTGGGGAATGCCCACACAAACTGCTCCAAGTTAGTCTACACTCGACCTCACCTGCTTTGTTATGAAAGCTTGTTTATTTCCTCTTGGTTTAACTGATTGGATTGAAGCTCTCAGGGTGTTTCTGGCTCAAAGAAGCTTGTCAAACTGCTTCTGCTGCTGATGTTTTTGCAGCTCAACCTGGACACCAAAGGGCGACTACGTGGCCTCGAACACAGACGAGTGCACCTCGATGCTGTCCTACGCTGTGAGCCTGAAGAAACCTGGAACTCTGTCCTTTGAGTATTTCTACCCTGACAACAGCATCTACTTTGAGTTCTTTGTGAGTCTTATAAGTGACTGTTGGAGACAAAGATGGCTGTCTTTAGAGGGTATATTGGTAAAATGTTGTTCTCTTCTTGTAGATTCAGAATGATCAGTGTCAATCTACAGACTCTGAGAGCAGGTGGATGAAGATCTCGGAGAGCAACTGGAGCCAGTACAAGGTTTGTTGGATTGTAGTTGTAGCGGTTTATGACTCCTGCTGACTTCTGGTTGTCGTTTGAGCTTTGATGGAAGATTAGATTAGAGTGCACTTTATTTTTCACCACCAATGGGGAAACTCACTTGTTGGAGCAGTACAGATACAGGAAAGAGCACAAAAAAGTGACAGGAAGAAAAGAAAACAAATAAACTATGTATAGGAAGATCTGAGAAATGCAATGCAATAGAGCTACACACACACTCACACACACACACACACACACACTATATACACTATAGATCCATATAATGGATGCTATTGATGCCCCATTCTGTCTCACATCTTAAGCTGTATCAGGTAGAAGCAAATCAAAAAAATGGTAAAAAAGGTAAAAAAAGAATATATTAAAAAACACCCATCGTCTGTCAGTCTGGTGTCATTTGAAATCATTCTCAGCGAGACTGTAGAACACAAAACAAGCCAACAAGCTCAGAAATCAAATCTAAATTAGAATCTGCGAGTAGATGCAATTCTTGTCTTTTCAAATCTTTGCTTGATTTCCTCTCTTTTCACACTGACTCTGTGCAGATGGAGCTGAACAACGGCAACAACGTGCTGTACTGGCGAACCACGACATACACTCTGCAGGGTAACGCGGTCAAACCCGTGCTGTTAAGAAACATTCACATCTCAGGTATATCAACATGTGGAGGGTGTTGTGTGTGCAGCAGTTGTAAACATTAGTTTAGCGCCCGTCTCCTTGTTCCTGTTAATGATTAGAACTGATGGTTTTCCTCCAGGGGTGGCCTACACGTCAGAGTGTTTCCACTGTAAACCCGGCACCCACAGTGCAAAGCAAGGCTCTGCCCGCTGCTCTCCCTGCCCCGCTGATACCTTCTCCAACAAGGGCGCCACTGTTTGCCATGAGTGTGAAAAAGACAAATATGCAGGTCCGTCTTGTTTGCATTACTAACGCTCTGTCCACAAAGACCGGTCACCCCACTGACCTACTAGTTCTTGTAGACCTGTAGCCGTTATGTATTTGCATGTTGCCACACAAATGCAAGATAGACTTCATGCAAATACACATTTACTGTTTAAGTGGTGTAAGTTTTTCTTATCACTGGATCTTAATGTGAGTTGTGTGTTTTCCTTTGTCCCTGCCGGCTCTTTCCCCTGGCTTTTTTTTTTTTTTTTCCAGAGGCTGGCTCAGGAAGCTGCAAACCAAGACCGGCATGTACAAACAGTGACTACTTCTACACCCACACTCCCTGTGACTCTGAGGGGAAGGTAATACCAAAAAAAAAAAAAAGAAAAGACATATGGAAGCAGGGTTCATGCTGGTTCAGTAGAGGTGAACAGAGAGCGAGATTTTCTTTCAAAGTCCTGCAAGCAGCCATCTGGTGTAACGATTAGGTTTCTTTAAATATAAATTATCTGGCTGATTGTGTTGCAGAGCCACCGGTGGCTTATTTCATGTATTCATGTGTTTCCCAGACTCAACTCATGTACAAGTGGATTGAGCCCAAGATCTGCAGTGAGACGGTTGAAGGAGCAGTGAAGCTTCCTGCATCAGGGGAGAAACAAACCTGTCCGCCATGTAACCCGGGTTTCTTTGTCACCAACTCTTCCACCTGTGAGCCCTGCACCAACGGCTCCTTCTCAAACGGAACAGGTGCGCAACCAGGGCACTTCTTTTCCTCTTTTTTTATTCAACCTCTTGGACGTCTTTTACTGTCACACACAGCTAAAGGTGCTGGTCACACTAAAAAGGAATTAATATAATTTTAATAAAAGTTAGTTTACAGTTTTATGCTGAAAGAAGTCAAGCATGACTTAAAAAGAAATGTACTTGTTTATTGGAGGAGGAAAGTTTTTAGTGCACAAATATTCATGATTTACAATAAAAACATGCAGACTCACAAAATTTAAATACAGTGGACATGTGATGGAATATAGAAATACACACCACAGTCTTCTTCATTGCATAACAAAAGTAAAACATATTTAAACATATTTCTACTTATTTAAATCGGCTAAATTTGTTTATCGATTGATACTGATATATGGGAAAAAATACTAATATTGGCCGATACCGATGTGGTCGCTGATATATCGTGCATCGGTGCCTTCATGTAATGTAACACTAATAATATCACACTCATGTGTAATACAGCAGTTTGTTTTCATGTATTCTGACATAGTATCACATCATCTACTCACAGTTTGTACCACGTGTCCTGTTGGCTCGGAGCCGGTGATGGGATTCGAGTACAAGTGGTGGAACACGATGCCGACCAACATGAAGAGCTCCGTCTTCCGTCAAGAGTTCAGCAACTCCGACCATAACACAGGTGAGAGACCTAATATAACGCCATGTGGGAGAGCAAACCTCAAACTAGTTCTGAGTAATAATTACGATCAGATCCCAGTTATTCAAACAATCTAAGACAAGTATCAAAAAAAGTAAAAGATAGCAGAAAGATGAAGCATTCCAAATTGTCCAACTAAACACCCAGGAATCATTCATTTGAAATATCCATCCATCCATTATCTATACACCGTTTAATCCTCGCTAGGGTCGCAGGGGTGCTGGAGTCTATCCCAGCTGACTCAGGGTGAAGGCAGGGGACACCCTGGACAGGTCACCAGTCTATCACAGGGCTACACTTAGAGACAGACAACCAAGCACACTCACATTCACACCTATGGACAATTTAGAATCACCAGTTAACCTCAACAAGTTTTTGGACCTTGTGGGAGGAAGCTGGAGAACCTGGAGAGAACCCACACTGCACGGGGAGAACATGCAAACTCCACGCAGAAAGATCCTGGGTGTCCTCACTGGGAAACGAACCGGCAACCTTCTTGCTGTGAGGCAACAGTGTTAACCACTGCTCCACCTTGCAGCCCTCATTTGAAATATGTAACACAAAAAACAGCCCAAGCACTAATCTTCAAAAACAATGAAAAGCTTGTTCGTGGCTCTTCAGTTAGGATTATTTTTATAAAACTACTATTGTGAAGGACAAGAATGAATTTGCACATTTAACTTCACAACTATTTGTAAAAAAAAAAAAAAAAAGAACTAAATGATGTCTGCAGAGTTATTTTAAACTATACTAGTTTGGTTTGCTCTCTGTGCAAACATTGCTGGTAGGACAACATAGCAGGGTGTTACTTTATTTGTTTTTGTTTCTTTGTGATGGCAGCCTGGGAAGTGGCTGGAGAATATGTCTACACAACCCCCGGAAATCAGGAGACAGACTTCCTGATGCTCACGCTCAGTGTCCCTGGATACAGGTGACAAGATTTTCCTTCACAGAATCACACATAAAAGTGTCTCTCAAATGGTTATAGATACGTATTTCCGTTTCCTTCTTCTTCTTTGAGGTTTAAGACAGTTGCCGTCCTTTAAGTTGCATTACTGCTTTCTTCTGGCCTCAGTGGTTCACTGTAGCCTGATACTATTATGAAGTCTTGTGATGTCACTTGTCTTCACAGGCTGCCTCAGTCAGTGGCCAAAGACAGTGAGAGGAGTGAACTGTCTCGCATCACCTTCGTCTTTGAGACCAGGTGTACAGCTGACTGCAGGTTTTACTTCTTGGCGGTGAGAGAAAGTGTTCCAACATTTCTATCACACGGATGTACAGTGTGTATAAGAATAGCAAATGTGTAATGAGGTGAGTGTATTTCTCTGCAGGGTTATAATCGGTGGAACAACGATGTGGTGGAGCACTGGACAGGCAGCAACAGAAAACAGTCGTACTCCTACGTGATCCAGAGCAACAGCACCGTCGGCTTCACCTGGACATTTCAGCGAACGGAGGAGTTGAACGTGGTGAGACAGACACAACCACGCTTCACAGCCGATCCAATTACTTTTTCAATTCATCAGCGTTAAAAGTAATTTTTTAAACGGGTGTGTCAAAAGCTTAATATGATCACATTCACTGGTTAGACAGTAAATCACTATTTTATTATCAGCCATCCATCCTTTTACTGAAGTTTCAGTAAAATTCATTAGGGTGAAGTAAATCAATGTTCAGTCAACAGAAATGAAGTCAGTGGTCCATGTAGCACTCCGAGTTACCTTTATTTGGAGTTATTTTTCTAACTTTCTATTTGTAGAATGTTCAAAAGAAAGAGGAAAAATAGAAAATACGACAATAATATAACGTTGCATTCAAGTTCTCTTGATTTCATATTTGATAGTTTATCAGTTATGTTATTATGCATATGCAATTTATATAATATTTCTTATTTTTATATTCAAGATAAGATGAGATGAGATGAGATGAGATGAGATGAGGTGAGATAAGATAAGATAAGCAGTTATTAAGCCCACAACTAGGAAATCTGCAGTGTGACAGCAGCAGCAATTATTGCAAACATGTAGAGAACATCAGTAGAAGCTAAAAATAAACAATAAAAAACACTGTTGATATTGTTCTGATTTTTCCATATGTGGAAATTAAGATATTGCACAGATTCCTCTGGATGTGGAAAATAACAATATTACACTTATGTATATATTGAAAAACAATGATATTGCATTTTTCCTCAGCTTTTTTTTTTTTTTAAAAATTGTCTTTATAACTACAGTTTTTTGTTTTTAGATGGATGCAGTTCTGAACTTTCTCTTTGTGTCTTTGTATTCTTTGCTGGAGGATGTAATTGTATTATGAAAACATGACATGGGGAAGAACGAATGTTGGTTGTTGAAATTCACTGGAATCTGTCGTGTTGTGTTTGCTCTTGTTGACATGTGAAGTGTTTTTGTACTCCAAGAAAATCCCAGTTTGAGATATTGCACTGACCTCTAGAGGGCAGTCTGGACCAGAGTGGCCACTTTAAAAAGATCTAAATGACCTTTATACTCTGGATTCTTTGTATCTTGTTTCATAATGACTATAAAACAGAGTTGGACTATAAACTGTGCTCCTTTAAGCAGAATAAGTGACTAGAGATTGTCCACACTGTCACAGCTCCTTGTGTTTCTCCTCCCTCAGGAGAAGAAGCTCAGTGCTGATGTTGCAAAGATCTACTCCATCTCCATCACCAATGTGATCGGAGGTGTGGCCTCGCAGTGTCGCCACTGTGCTCTGACGTCCGTTCAGGCCGGTTCTGCCTGCGTTCCCTGTCCGCCGGGTCACTACATGGTCAACGGGACGGGAGTGTGTAAGAGCTGCCCGCCAAACACCTTCATCAGGGCCGAACAGCCTGTCGGAGAGGCTGCTTGTATTCAGTGTGGACCGAACACAAAGACTAACAAGGTGAAGAGAACAAAATCTTCTCTACTGAATGAACACAAAAGCTCTGAGTAAGTTCATCAGTGCAGGAATGTACTCAGGGCTGTCGAGGTCAGGTCCTCACTCCTGTTTCTGGGAGTTTCATGGTTTTTATTCTCTCCCCAGCTAGAATTATTACAAGTCATAATTTCAGTAGTTTTTAAAGTTATATTAATATTTATATTATGCATACCCCAAATGTTGTTATTTAAAAACTCTGGGAACGTTTTGTAGAAAATCTTTCTCAACTGCAACATCCAAAAAACATCCTCATAACATTATAGGCAAAATGTTCCACCTTTGTTCATAAATCACATATAAAATAGTCACATATTGTATCGTCTAAGATCTTGAGAACATATTGAAAACATTTTTTGAATGTTGGTTCTTTATTTTTTCTTATCTAACAAATGTGAAAACATCCCCCAAACATCCTCTGACTGTTAAAACGCTTCGTCTTAGTTCATGTTTAACCTCGAAGGGACATTACTTAAAATAATAAATATCCTTAAAATGTTCTTTGGATTTAAAACTTAAAATGTTTTCTTTAAAACATTGTTAGAACTTGTAGGTAATGTTAGCCAATGTTGTGGAAACGTTCCCTGCTTGCTGGGCCGACGTACAACAGATTTTGGCTAAAAACTAAACTGCCCAAAAGATATTACATAAAATGACAAATAACTAATTAATACGATTCCATATGAACAATTTACTTGCTATATGCAAACGTTTACCAAAAATAAAGTTACCTTTCTGGAACAATATCTGTTGGTATTTCACAAATTAGATTATACAAACTTTATTTTTGAATCTAAGGGCAAACAAATCACAATTGCTATACTTTCTGGCAGTCATGAAACTCACAATCTGAGTGTTTAATTGAGAAATGCAATTACTCAGTTTCCTCAATTTCCTGCTGAAATGTTCTTTGTGTTGGAACTATTTCTGCCATTTCTGCTTTTGATTGTTTACCTGAATTAATGTTGGTATGACTAAGATGCTGTTTGCACTAAAAACATTGATTTAACTCTGAGTTTCCAAAAAAATGAAGACCTAGTCCTGAAAAAACGTACTGTACTACTGGAACCACAGACCGAGCGACCACAGCCTCAGAGTTTCAGCTGATGTTGGCATATACCAGCTGTCTCACTCGGTTTCCCACAGACGGATCATGTGGTTTTCCACCCACTGTAAACAAAGTGTGATGTAAATGCACCTGCTGACACCCTGATTCGTCCTGCAGGCCCACACAGCTTGTCTCAGTGACTGTAAGCTGGCTGTGCAGACGAGAGGAGGAGCTCTGCAGCGCTACGACTTCTCTCCTCTGGCCAACGTCACGGGCTTCTACAGCAGCCCCCGGTTCACCATCAAAGGCCTGAGATACTTCCACCGCTTCAGCGTGGGTCTGTGTGGGACAGAGGTGAGAAATCTGTGATCTGATGACCTTTTTTTTTTTTTGGTAGAGATCCAGTCTGACGTGCGTGTGCTTCTCTTCCAGAGCAGAATACCAGCTTCCTGCGTGGACAACGTCACCCAGAGTGGGCGGGAGGTCAGAGGTTACGTCTGTCAGTCCACTGTGGTTCCCTCCGACATCAGGAGTCAGAGCGTCGTGTCCTCCCAGCCTTTCCTCATCGGTGACTCACTCATCGGTATGGACTGAACGCTGGAGCTGACTGCTGCTGACGACGTGTTTGTAGGAGGCTGTTAGTCATTTGCCGAAAAGTGTGTTTGAATATTAATTAAGGGCGGTTACACACCAACGGCATATGCTGCATCTGGGTTCGCTGCTTTCAATTTTCTCTGTGTGCCAGTGCTCACGCTGAAAAATAATTTTATTGCGTCTGCAGCAGTGTTAAAATTAGGACCTAAGGATGTTTTCTTCAAACGTTTAACTCTGATTGGTGCTTATTCAGTCAGAAATATTCAACAGTAGGCTATGGAGAAAAACTCATTTTTATTATTGCTAGTAGCGTTGATTGTTTAGTCTGCTGGGATTTTCTAAATTGTGACAAGGTGGCACATTTTAAGAGTCTACAGCATATGTTTTTTCTGGGTTGATACCTTTTATTAGTAATCCAGGAGATCAATAACTGATCATTAGCACTGACATACTCTTGCAGAGAAATGAAAGTCCTGGTGTCAAAACTTACTACAAACTCCAACACAAAGCTTTATTGAAAAGCTTTAGTTTATTTATGTTTTCAATGTGCTCAACTAAAAGAGAACATTTCCACATTCATCCTTCAGTATTGATTGGCTACTACAAGTGCCATGTAACCAATCAGATCACTGGAGACCACAGGTAGAGAGAAGTGGCTGCATCAGTAGCCCATTTTTTAATGCATTTGTTTTATTGTGAATTACGGGGAAAAAAATGACTATCAAACAAAAAATATTAATAATAAAAAAGTTGAATATCAAATCTGATAACTGGCCTCACGAATAATCATTCAACCTCTACGAATGCATTTTCAGTATTTTTTAACAACTTCATCTTTGAGACCCGAATAAGAGATGACAAGCTGAATCAAAGAACTTGTAACATTATAAAAATTTGGGAAAATATGCTAAATTCTACATATATATTACCTGTCTAGCATTTTTACTGGTGACAAAATACATGCACGACTTGGACACTCCTGTCAGTCTCAGCTGTGTTTAGCAAATATTAGCATGATTGTGAACATAGTAAAAATTATGCTGCATTTGCAACACATTAGCATGTTAGCATCGTCACTATGAGCATGTCGGCATTTTGACTTTAGCATTCAGCTGTGTGTAGGCTCACAAACACACTAGCATATAGACTTGTACCCTATAGCGCTGCTTCCTTCTCTTTCAGAACAAAAAAGGGAAAAACATGTGTTTGATTGAACTTGCTGCATTTTAAGGACATCTTCAGCCTGCAATGGGGCATCAGAATAGATATTGCCTTGTGGGGATGTTAGCACAAAAAGGTTATGCTACTGTTGATTTACATTGTGTGTGTGTGTGTGTGTGTGTGTGTGTGTGTGTGTGTGTGTACATATATCTCTGGTAATCATTCTGCATTTCTTCTAATTCTAAAGGTGTGACCAATGAGGCGACCCTGCATTCCATCTCTTCTCCAGAGGGGTTGTTCTCCACAGCATCCGGCCTGCCAGACGTCATATTCTATTACAAGTAAATCAGATCCCAGTTGTTCTTGTATTTTATTTTTCCACATTGATGCTTTGAAATAGATAATAGTAAATATTGAATGCCTAAGATCATATCATATGTAAAATAATGAAATGTAACAGAGACTCGTGAACAGTTTCAAATTCATCACGTGGTTAAAATTTTAGTGTTTGTGATGTTTTCAGGTCCAGTGAAACAACTCAGGCTTGTAAAAAAGGCAGGTCAGCCACCATCAGACTGAGATGCAACCCCTCAGTGACTGCTAACGATCACATCACGCTGCCAAGGTACCTAAACATTAACTCTATGAAGTCCAACCCCACTGCGAGGTTTCAAAGGCATTTTATGTTTATAGAAATCACCCAAAAAACACCATCAAAGCCAGAAACTGTAAAAACAGAGAGAATCATAATCTGGATTTTCAACTTTCTGACAGTCTTTAAAATAATGTCCAATCTCTAAAATTATCCAAATCTAAGCTTAAAATTGCTATAAGTCAGCAAAATCACTTTATTCTACATGCCTCATTTACGTTTGTCAAAAACAAATCACTTGCTCTGACCAGATTCTGTACAAATCCAAAAATTCAGAACTCTTCAGCACAACCGGGAAGCCATAACTAAGTCAGCTGCGACCAACAGTACCACTTTATGGCTGAACTGGATTTAACTGTAGGCTGTGTTTCTACAGAGCAGATATGATGTATGGAAACTGATTAAAATGTAAATAGTAAACTAATTACAGTATGTAGAACCTCCATTTTATTAATAACAGTTGCTGGCACGAGGAAAAATGTTCTACATGTTGATTTAATGTTTTGTTTTGTTTTGTTTTGTTTTTTTCAATTTTGGTCAAATAAACAAGGAAATTCAACTTTTTTAATGATTTATGGTAATGAAACTGTGTCATACTGAACATAAGACAGTTTTGAGTTCTCTCTACTTCTACCCACGGTTGTCTGTAGAGCTGCTAGACTTTATATTGCAGTGAAAAATGAGTCCACAGTGAGGAAAAATGTGACAAGAGCAAAAAACACCCAGAAACTGCTTATGGTTCAGAGGGTTATCCAAGCTCAGCTTTTGACCTGACAAGTGTCATTCAGACAACAGTTGATTTGATGCACATACTGTGGTACAACAGCCTTATTTTGCACTAACATGACATATTGAGCTTTCTGAGGCTGAACTGTGACACGACTCCTTTGAGATCATTTTTAAAGCCAGTGACCATCTCTCTCCCTTGTTTTCCTCCACAGTAACTGTTCAGAGGGGACGTGTGATGGTTGTACTTTCCACTTTCTGTGGCAGAGCCAGCATGCGTGTCCACTCTGCACCAAACACCACTACAGAGAGATCGTCAGCGCTTGTATCCAGGGAATACAGGTAGCGCTGCACAGCCGTGGACGTACTCACCTCCACACATCCGTCACACACTTGTGTGATGTGGAAAGATTCTAAAAACATGAATTACGTAAGATTAGATCACAGGAAAATACTGCATGTGTAAAATGATATGCAGGACAGTGTGCACTTTCCATTCTATCTGATAATTTAGCCACTGATGCCTTTCATTTTACTTCGAACACTTTGAGTGTGATATGAAAACAGAGCGGCACAGGCGTGTTTTATGTAACTTTTCCCGAGTTGTTTAATGGAACAGTTCAACATTTTGAGAAATACACTTAATCCCCATCTGGCACAAGGTTAGATGAGAAGATTGATACCAATCTGTTAAATATAAGGTTACAGCTAGCAGTCAGTAAGCTTAGAAGTCTGGAAACAGTTTGCCCGCCTCTGTCCAGAGATAACAAAATCCACCTACTCAAGCTCATAACACAAAATTCTAGCCTTTAAACGTTTTTTATGCAGTTTAAATAACCACAATATAACCTGTCAGTTAGTCTGTTTTAGTGATTCTGATGAACAGATAAGCAGACTGGCTCTCTGCTTCCCTGTTTTCAGTCTTGGTGTTAAACTAAACTAATAATCTGATGGCCCTGTCTTCATATTGATCCAGAAATGTGAGAACAGTTTCCATCCTTTATCTACACCTGGAAATGAATGAGCATATTTCTTAAAATGTGGAACTTTTCCTGAAGAAATTCCAAGATTAAGGTAGTGAACTGATATGTAATATGGGAAAATCTGACTATTTCTGTTTCTGTGTGTGTGTTTCAGAGAACCACTTATGTGTGGCAGCAGCCTTTGCAGTGTTACGGAGGAGAGTCGCTGCCAGCACAAAAAGTCAGCGCTTGTGTGACTCTGGATTTCTGGCTCAAGTTTGGTGTTTCCACAGGAGCGATCGCTGCTGTGCTTCTCATCAGTATCAGCTGTTATTTTTGGAAAAAGACGCGCAAGTGAGACATCTCAGCTTTACATCTTCTTTAGTGTTACTGATCCGAGGGTACTTTAAAAAGTTCTCTGCCTCACCTCAAAACATCACGGGAGAAAGATTGTTCTTGCGTTAATTTTCAACATAGTCTCCTTTAATGTCAATGTACTTGGTCCACCAATGTTCAAGCTTCAGCATCCCTTCATGGAACAAGGTCACACCTTGAGCCTACAGATTCTTCTCAACAGCATGGATGACTTCATCATAACTCTGAACATGGGGATGGGATTTCAGTTTGGGAAACAGACAGAAGTCAAACAGTGCAGGTCGGGTGAGTAAAGTTCATGGAGCAACAGTTCAGAGCCCATTTGGCTGCTTCTGCCACCCGATGCTGTGTGACACATTGGCCAGGAGCAACAACACTTCAACTGGACGCTTTCCTCTCCTTTTTTCTTTGATTGCTTCTTTGGGTTGTTGCAATGCTGATGCATAATAGTCCCCATTAACATTTTGACTCTTTTAGAGTGGCTGTGGCTCAGGTGGTAGGGCAGGTCGTCCTCCAATCGCAAGGTTGACGGTTCAATCCCCGGCCCCTCCACAGTCGAAGTGTCCTTGGGCAAGACACTGAACCCAAAGTTGCTCCCAATGGCAGGTAGCACCTTGCATTGCAGCTCTGTCACCACTGATATATAAATGTGTGAATGTGTGCGAATGAGAAACACATTGTAAAGGGTACCTTGGGTACCACTAAGGTAGAAAAAAGTGCTATATAAGTGCAGACCATTTACCATTTTGCAAGAAGTCAATCATGAGCAGTCCCTCGCTGTCACAAATCACCGAAGCCACCGTCTTGCCAACAGGTGCCACTTGTTTGAACTTTTTGGGAGGCAAAGAACTATTGTGTTTTCATTGTTTGCTGTCAATTTTGAATCAGGATCAAAGTGGGGAACCCATCTTTCATCCTGGGTCACAAATCTCCTGAGGACTTTGGCTGGATCAAACTGAAAACAGTTCAAAAGTGTCCTTGAAACCTTCGTTCTCTTCAACTTCTGATCAGGTGTCAATATTCAGAGAGCCCATCTTTCAGGCAGTTTGCTCATCCCCAAGATATTCATCAAAACAGCGTGAACTAAATCAGCCTTGGTGTCCGTAGTTTCCACTATGTTTTGGACAGTTGCACGTCTATCATTCATGACCATGCAGTGAATGGCCTCAACCTGACTGTCCCTGGTTGCTGATTCTGGGCGTCCCGACCGTGGGTCATCTTCGGTGCTCTGCCTGGCCCACGTAAAATCAGCAGCCCACTTCTTTATGGTTAAATAGCAATGGGAGTCCTCACCAAGTGTTTGTGGACAGCGATTTAAGGCTTAATAGTATAGTTATATATGTATATATATATTGAACAGTTGTGCCTCAAAATTGATGTTATGGCCTTTGTTTCCAGGTGAGGCTGAGAACTTTTGAAGTGCCCTCATATGTCACACTTCTAAATAAAAGCAGAGGCCAAATCTATCTTGAAAACTGTAACCTGTGTTGACAAGATGTTATTTCCGTGGTTCTCCTTGTGCAGGCTGCAGTACAAGTACTCCAAACTGATGATGAGCTCAGGGGGTAAAGAGTGTGAGCTGCCTGCCGTGGACAGCTGTGCAATAATGGAGGGAGAGGATGCGGAGGATGATCTCATGGACCTCACCAAGAAATCCTTCTTCACCAAAATTAAGTCTTTCTCACGAGAGGTCAGTAGCACCTTCATTACTCTTCGCACTGAGCTAGCAACTCATCATGCTTCATGTTGTTATTATTGTGTTCTCAGAGGACATCAGATGGATTTGACTCAGTCCCACTTAAATCATCATCTTCACGCCAGCTACGAGAGGAGGAAGACTCTGATGAGGCTTAAATCAGAGGATGAGTAGATCCTTCTGTCAAAGCAAAGAGGAAGTGTTCAGTTTTTAATATCAATGCAGCTCTGACGGAAACAGAAAACAGAAGAGGCTGCTGAGTGTATTTCATTTATTACTAAAGATACTAGGTTTACTGAGGCAGGTTTTAGGATCATATAAAGAGTGGGAATTTTAATTTAAAAAGTATTTGCCGTATGTTAGGTTGCCAGACCTATTATTAAGATATGATATTAGTCTCCATATTGGGGATACACTGTATTTTCAGAGCCCAAGATGTTTTTCAAAATGATCTAAGATACAAACTGTGGATAAAGTTAAACCTTTTCTGGATGTGTGAAGCTTTTTTTTTTTGTACATTTAGCATAAATGTGAGTTTAAATATCTTATCCTTTTCTGCTTGTTGTTATCAGGATTCCCTGTGTTTTTTTGTTTATTCGGGCAGCCATTCAGTTCAGTCTTATAATGCTATTTTACAGTATGTGACTTCTATCACCAAAGCTGTATGCTTTTTTATCATTATGCTCTGCTTCTTTGTGAAGATATTTTCTAAAGAAAAAAAAGCAAACAAAATGTACAACTCTAGTAATTAAGGCTGGCCTCTAATGCTGCCTTCTGGAACTCTTTGTAAGATCATGTTGCGGAACATGAAAATAATAAAGAAATAACAAATGAAAATGATTGTTGGTTTAAGTAAGACTGGATTTTAACTCCGAACATGGACATGCTATGCATATTTTAAACAATTTACCAAAGACTGCTGAATACACATGCCATGTTACTGTAAGACATCCATCCATTTTCTATACACCACTTAATCCTCACTAGGATTGCGGGGGGCTGGAGTCTATCCCAGCTGACTCAGGGTGAAGGCAGGGGACACCTTGGACAGGTTGCCAGTCTATCACAGGGCTACACTTAGAGACAGACAACCAAGCACACTCACATTCACACCCACAGACAATTTAGAATCACTAATCAACATGTAGCCGGAGAACCATGCGAGAACCCACGCTGCATGAACATGCAAACTCCATGCAGAAAGATCTCGAGTGTTCTCACCTTCTAGCTGCAAGGCAATGGTGCTAACCACTGAGCCACCGTGCAGCCCTAACAGAATGCAATATATTAATAATTTTAAGAATGCATCAAGGACTTTATCTGTATGCTTTTCTGCAATATTCTAATAATTACATTCATCAGTAGAACATTGCTTGATAATTAATGCTAATATAACTTTGTAATTATTTTCCACATAAATATTACCTCTTGTTAAATCCAGTATGATCACAATCAAATGGAATGCTAAGTACTCATATACTGTGCTTTAGTCAGGTACTTACATTTTCTGCTACTTTATACCATAATTCAGGATGAAATATTGTCATTTTTAACTTTTAAAAAGATATTTATTTATTTAAAAGACACACACAGTTAATATCTGAGATAAATTAAAATGAGTTAGAAATACTGTTGCGGTAGTGAAGTGACTGAAAATAAATAAGAGAATAAATAAGAGGTTATTGCACATGTGAAAGACAGTAGAGTGTCTATGCTAATACTAATATTTAGCTAATGACAATTATGAAAATGAGTATGCTACAAATATTTTTAACCAAGAAAATAAAAATAATCCTTCGTACATATTAAGTTGCTCCGAAGCGCAGCACTGGTTTCAGTTTCTGTCCTCTTCTCGTCTGCTCAGCTGTCTCGACTGTTTTTTTTTCTCTCTCTCTCTCGCGAGATTTCGCCCCGTGTTGCAAGCGGGGTGAAATCTCGGGAGCAGCCAGCGGACCGAGGAACAAACAGCGTGAAGATTTAAAAGTGTGCACACAGCTCACGGTGATTCTGCAACATTTCGCAACGAGTCAACCTCGTAACCTCAGACTGTGTCAAGTTCCGTGGCGACGAGAAACACTTCGTTGGGCTTCTCTTTCCGTTTCTTTTGGTGGGGGTAAAAGTTGAAAGTGTTGCACGGCTCGGAGGACCCACCTCAACGCAGAAAGTCGGTCGGTGGTCGGCAACTGGTTCTGCAGGAATGTCGCAGAAAGAGAGACCCAAGTTTTACCGTCAGGAGGTCAACAAGGCGATATGGGAAGTGCCGGAAAGGTACCAAACCCTGTCCCCGGTTGGCTCTGGAGCCTACGGATCCGTGTGGTAAGTCACTTTTGACGCTAAGTTACGTGAAGTGTGCGGCGGCTATCACCTAACTTAACCTCCATTCATTTAGACGAGGCCTGTGCAGCAGAAGCTAAAGTTAGGTTAGCTCGTCCTGATTGTTGGCTAGCAAGGTGGAGCCACGATGTCTTTCAGCAAGAAAACCACTTAATATTCTTTCTACCAACCAATATCCGCTTGTGAAATATGTAATTACTCTCCCTAACTTGGTTTATATTCACTCAGGCCTCCACACAGCAAACATTTGCCTTAAATCTAAACTGTTAAATAAAAGTCTTTATCGGAACAGTGGACATACCACTCCACTGCCTGAATGACTTGTATTTCTAATTACTCACATACTGCAGCTGCTCCATAACTTACTCTATTTGTCTTTTAATTTAGATAAACAGATTTAATGTGCATTATCCGTAATAAGCCAAGAGAATAACACACGTAGCTGGTGCTGCTAAGTGTTTTGCAAGAGTCATGGCTGTTTGATAACAGATTTGACAGTTTTGATTCACCACCTTGATTATTCTGCAAGGTGTTTCCATTAGAATATGTGATAAACTAATCTCAGTAAAAAATAAATTAAAATCTTAAATGATTGAAGGAATTCAGACTAGTTTTGCATGAAATAATTGGCTGATTAGTATCTGTTAATCCAGGTAAGAAAGAACTTTGTTGATCCCAAAGGACGTTCTTGTGCCGGATATTGCTCAGAAACAGTAAAATGAGATTAAATGCACTGCGTAATCGAAAGTGAATAGGATATAAGTAAGATGCTTAAGTGAAAGTAAGATAAACTACAATACAAAACTAATACAATTATGAACAAATCATAAGTAATTTTGATAATTGAACAATAATCGTTGATCATCATGGAAAACATCCTTTAGTTCCAGCTAGTCCGAATTTTCTGGCATTTTACATACTACCCATTAACTGCAGAAATACATAACAGATGATGATCTACACTGGAAATAATTGCTGGTTTCTTGCTGAGTTCAAGTCATTGAAGTGTGATACAAGTCTTACATCGTGATATGGGCAACTTTCCTCTACATGCAGACACTACATAGCTCACTGGAATAACAATGTAATATCAGTCTTAACACAAGCTTCCTGATTACCACTCGTTTTTTAGGGTGGCTCTTCAGTGAATGTGTTGAGTAATCATAGGCAAATCTGTTGCACAGAAGAATTTGCATGTACAGAGAGAGAGAGAGAGAGAGGAAGTCATGCCTCTTGATTTGTGCCTCATGTTGGAGGACTTTGCTGGTAAGGTGGGTTTTTCTTAATGCTGCTTAGTGGTGAAAGGTAAGCTTTCGCAGGATGGACCCTTTGCACTACTCTGGTGATTAAATAGGTTGTGCTGATACTATCTAGGACACAACATAGTCAGTGGTACATTTGGTTTACTGAGCAGATGTTTGTTTTGCAAATGGAAGCGAACAGCTGTGCTGTTGCTGGGCAATAGGATAATCTGTTGCTGGTCAGATTACTGGCTGCCCACCAGTGCATTGACTGTGATTGTGTGTGTGTGTTTTTTTTTTTTTTTTTATAACCGTGCACAGGCTTATATTGTCAGTGTTTACATGGCAGCCCTGAGTTTGCTGTCACAAGTTATTCTATAATGAAAGCGCGTGGCTTTGGTGACCTTACTGAACTGTGTTATACAGTACTGAGACGACACACAACTGAACTATGTACAAAATATCCCCCTGTCTAAA